GCGGCCCGGGCCTCGAGCACGGCGATGCGCCGGTCCAGCGTCTCGCGCAAGGCCCTCAGCGCGGGCAGGTCGTCGCCCAGCGCCGCGAGCGCCGCGTCCATCCTTTTTTTATGGCAGCCCCATGGCCATCATTATTCACAGAGGCGAAGAAACGCCCGCACCTTGAACTTTTGAGTGCCTTATGGTCTCCGCGATGCTGCCCATGGTCGCCGCTCTGCTACCCCTGGCGCAGGCGCTGAAGTCGCCGCCGGAGCCGACGGTCGCCTATGTGACGCAGCAACTCGACCACTTCCGCTTCGACGAGACGCGCACGTTCTCCCAGAAGCTGCTGGTCCACGATGCCTGGCACCGCCCCGGCGGCCCGCTGCTCATGTACTTTGGCAACGAGGGCGCCATCGAGGACTTTTACGGCAACTCCGGTGGCCTCATGTTCGAGCTCGCGCCGAAGCTCAACGCGTCCGTCGCCTTCCTCGAGCACCGCTACTACGGGAGCTCGCTTCCGTTCGGCAACGCGAGCTACGGCAGCGACGAGCTCGCGTTCCTGACCGTCGAACAGGCGCTGGCCGACATGGCCCTGGTGCTCGCGACGTCGTCCGAGATCCTGGGCGCCGCGGACGGGCCCGCGGTGCTCTTCGGCGGTTCCTACGGCGGCATGCTCGCCGCGTGGTTCATGCTCAAGTACCCGCACCTCGCCGCCGGCGCGGTCGCCGCGTCGGCGCCCGTGGACCTGTACCCCGGCGAGGGCAAGGAGCGACCGTTCTTCGACGCCGGGCTCGAGGTCTACGGGACCTACGGCTCCGCGGCGTGCGAAGCGGACCTGCGCGCCGCGCTCGCCGCGCTGGCGGCCGCGGCGAAGACCGCGGAGGGCCGCGACGCGCTGGCGCGCTCCTTCCGCACCTGCGAGCCGCTGCCGGACCCCGTCGACGGCGACCGGCTGACGTCCTACGTCAACGGCGCGCTGAGCACGCTGGCCATGCTCGACTACCCCTACGCGTCGGCGTTCGTGGCCCCGATGCCCGCGAACCCCGTGCGCGTCGCCTGCGGCCGCGTCGCCGCGGCGCCGTCGGCGGCGTCGAAGCTCAAAGGCGCCGTCGACGTCTTCCTGAACCACACGGGCGAAACCGCGTGCTACGACG